GGGGGGGCATTTATAAAACAACGGATGCTGTTCGGAATTGCACTAGCACCCCTAAATGGAGCTGACAAATATAGGAAATTCCCAAACCATGTGCATGTTACCTTAAGGAGAACTATGGAGTGAAATAGACTCTCACTCCCAATAGTTGCGGCTGGTGTGGGGCATTGCAGCTGTCACATGCCGGCTCTATAGATCGAGAGGAGCGGTCACATACCACTGTTTGCTCAGCTTACGGCAGGGGTCTCAAACCTCCGGCCCTCCAGCTGTGGTGGAACTACAAATCCCATGAGGCATTGCAAGATTCTCACAGCCACAGGCATGACTCCCGAAAAGAGATCAAAATCATGGGATTTGTAGTTCCACCACAGCTGGAGGGCCGGAGGTTTGAGACCCCTGGATAAAGTGAAAAAGAGTTAAAGCAGAACTCCGGGGCAAAAGTGTTCTTAAAGGAGAACTATGAGGTGAGTGAAAATCAGTCATCCTCATAGTTCGAGCCGACGTGTGACAATGAAACTGTCACACGTCGGCTCTATAGATCGGGAAAGTGAGTGATCACATACCGCTGCTCGCTCACTTCTCGATCATCTCCTTGCAGAGAGCGGTGACTGTCGCTCACGGCTCCCTGCAGGGATTCCCCGCTCCGATCCTCCAGCGCTGACAGGAGGAACAGTTGCAGCCGTGTGGGGCATTGCAGCTGTCGCATGCCGACTCTATAGATTGAAAATGGAGCGATCACAAACCACTGTTCGCTCAGCTTATGGCTTCTACCTGCAGAAAAATGGTAACTGGCAGTCATCGCTCCCCACAGGGATTCCCCCCCTCCCCTCTGCGTTCCTCCAGCACTGATTGGAAGAACAGACAAGGGAGGGGGCGGGCACAGCCGGCTCTGCCTCTAGATAGACAGAGCCAGCTGTCACTCACGCAGCTGGGCGGATCTCGACAGCATTGTCCTGATGCGCCCCGGCTGCGGCGGTCTCAGTATACCGCGAGCTGCAGCTCACTAAAAAATTAAGCTTTGGGTCACAGGAGGAGGCTAGTTTGTGTCCTCCCGTGACCCTGAGGAGAACTATGCGGAAAAAAAACACTTGCCCCATAGTTCTCTTTTAACCCTTGCAGTGGGGGCTACTCGACCCCCCTCAATGGTGGGTGTAGGATTTATTTTTATTTTTGCAGGTTTCCTTAGCAGCTCTGCAGATATTATTTATCTAACAAGCCACTTCAAGCAAAGTTTTGGTCCGACTCAAACAATGCAGAAAAGGCCGCTATCAAGAGGTCAGTGTCCCTTCACAGGAGGATCCAATATGGAGGACAGCACACATCTTTAGGGGTTTTATGGGTACATTAGAAGCCCTGGACAAAGCAATACCGGCGCCCCCGGTTTGCAGAAAAATCCGGCTGTAAAGTTCATTGGTACACCATAGAGGCCGCTCCCATCGATACATTAGAAGCCAGTGAGAGGTGTGACAACTACTGCTGTATATAACAACATTGCTTTCTCACTTTCAGGAGCCCACAGAAGAAAACGGCTCGAGCTCCGTAAGTATTTGGTCTCTGAGCCAGGCTCCTGCCCGGGGTTCAGTCTGATTTTGCTGATACTGTACAGCAGGGGTGCCCATTAGGTAGATGGTGATCTAGCAGTAGCTCTGAAAGCTGATGCTGGTAGATCAGGAAGGGGGGGAATGGCGGCCCCTTTATTCCATTTTGGTATATTTATTTAGCTGTGCACCTGATCACCTATTAGCCGGAGTCTGCTGAGCCGAGCTCCCTGACACCTTTCTGGTGGATACTGGAGGTTGAAGTGCTATGTATTACATAAAGGAATATAAGTTTACACAGCCTGTTGCACTACATTGTTTGCAAAATACAGCAAGGTGACAGCCAGGGGAGAGAGCCTTGAGAGAGAGCAAGGAAAGATGGCCAGGAAAGAGAGGGAAGAGAGACAGCCAGGAGAGAAAACGAAGAATGACAGCCAGGAGAGAGAGAGCTAGGAGAGACAGTCAGGAGAGACAGCCAGGAGAGCGAGCGAGGAAAGACAGCCAGGAGGATGAGCATGGAGAGAGAGCAAGGAGAGACAGCCAGGAGAGAAAATGAAGAATGACAGCAAGGGGAGAGAGAGCGAGGAAAGACAGCTAGGAGGATAAGCATGGAGAGACAGTCAGGAAAGACAGCCAGGAGAGCGAGGAAAGACAGCCAGGAGGATGAGCATGGAGAGAGAGCAAGGAGAGACAGCCTGTAGAGAGAGCAAGGAGAGAGAGAGCGAGGAGAGACAGCCAGTAGAGCGAGCGAGGAAAGACGGCCAGGAGGATGAGCATGGAGAGACAGCCAGGAGAGCGAGCGAGGAGAGACAGCCAGGAGAGCGAGCGAGGAGAGACAGCCAGGAGAGCGAGCGAGGAGAGACAGCCAGGAGAGCGAGCGAGGAGAGACAGCCAGGAGAGCGAGCGAGGAGAGACAGCCAGGAGAGCGAGCGAGGAGAGACAGCCAGGAGAGCGAGCGAGGAGAGACAGCCAGGAGAGAGAGCGAGGGAGGTTTTTTTTTCGTTGGTAGATCTCATGTAGCTCGTCATTTGGAAAGTAGATCTTAACGCAAAAATTGTGGGCACCCCTGCTGTACAGATTATATCACTGTGGTCTTGGACTAGGAAGGGAGGGACACCCCATGCGCACAAAAACACGTGTCCATTTAATTTGAGCACACCTTTGACAAAATGAATTAATAGACTCTGTGGGGTTCAGTTGCACTCCATGCAAGGTCCGTCTAATAAGAGCGCCCCCTTCCCCATCTTAAACTGCAAAGAAAAATAAAGGTTCCTCCGGCTTCTGTACTGAAGGTGGCATACTGCAGCATTCTTCAGGTGATGTCCCAGAGTTATTAAGCAGACCTATTTTACTGCAAGGTCTGCTTTAATCTATAGGAACTGTAGAGTCAGCCCAGCCACTAGCACCTTCACAGTGGCTGCTTAAGGATGTGATTTCCACTCATCCTCATAGTTAGAGCCGACCTGTGACAAAGGAGCTGTCACAGGTCGGCTCTGTTGATCAGGAAGTGAGCAGAAACATGCAGCCGATCTGCTTACTTCCTGATCGCCTCCCTGCAGCGAGCGGTGACTGTCAGTCACTGCTCCCTGCAGGGATTTCCCCCTCCTCGCTCCGATCCTCCAGTGCTGAGTGGAGGAACGAACAGGGGGAGGGGACAGGCACAGCTGTCTCTAGATAGGCAGAGCCAGCTGTCACTCATGCAGCTGAGTGGATCACGACACAATTGTCGGGATCCGTCTCGGCTGCGGCGCTCTCAGTATATTGCTGCAACAGCCCACTATATACTGAGTTTTGGGGTAGCGGTTAGTATATGTCCTCCCGTGATCCTAAACAGGACTATGGGGAAAAACACTTACCCCGTAGTTCTCTTTTAATGACTATAAAGGGAATGTGCCAGACTCAGTAGAACCGTCAGAAAAGATGGGGGCAGCAAACAGAGCGACGAGGGACAGCACTGAACGGTCCGCCCCGGAGGAGGACAAACCCAAAGATAGGTACATCTTTGATATTGTGCAAGTATGCTGTGCATGATGAGATAATAGAAAAGATAAATAAGATTGATAAGAATAATAGGAAAATGGAGGGGTGAGAAGGAAAAAAAAGGGTAAGGGAAGAGAGGGGGCACCTTCATCTCAGAATCCAGGCGGCTTTACAGGATATTAGAGTTAGTATAAAATGTCCAATTGCTGGGCATATAATGGGTTAATCCGGGGTTCTGATCTAACGTAACCCGCCCTCCTCCTCTACAGATCTATACTTACCTTGATCTGATGGCCAAGGATCTGCTGTTTGTTTACATCCAGAGGTAGAAATCTTCACTGTCCTGGCCGTGCATGCGCATATCAGCCCCTTCTATGGCCTGAGATGATCACAGGTGGTCCCATAGAAGTCTATGGGGCTGTAATGCGCAGGCGTAGCCTGGACAGTGAGATTTGCAGTGCTGGATGTACACAAACGGAGGAATCGCAGCTGTCTAATTGTGGTAAGTATACAGGTGAAACTCGAATAATTAGAATATTGTGCAAAGTTCATTTATTTCACTAATGCAACTTAAAAGGTGAAACTAATATATGAGACTCATTACATGCAAAGCAAGATAGTTCAAGCCGTGATTTGTCATCATTGTGATGATTATGGCTTACAGCTCATGAAAACCCCAAGAACCCCAAATCCACAATCTCAGGAAAGTAGATTATTACATGCAATCAATAAAACAAGGATTGTACATAGAACAATATCGGACCTCTGAAAAGTACAAGCATGCATATGTACTCAGTACTTGGTTTGGGCCCCTTTTGCAGCACTTACTGCAATTACTTTTGCACGATATTCTAATTATTCGAGTTTCACCTGTATATCTGTGGATGGCGGTTGGTTTAGGTTAGTTGAAGGGGCAAGAAAGAAGTGCACTTATCCTTTGAATTGAGTGTTGTACATCCTTCTGGCCTTAGATTCAGAAGAGCTTCATAGGGACTCTTTGGAATGCCACTGCCCAGCACCATGTAAATGAGCCGGTTAGAGGCTGTCTAGCAGGATCTGAAACCTGGTTGATTGCTTTGGGTTACTCTGCATTCATGTCCTTTGCATGAAACTTTTTATTCTGTTGTTGTGTTCAGGATCCGATCTCCATCTAAGCCCAGCAGCGGAGCTGTGAAGTGGACGGCGGAAGAGAAAGATCTGTTTGAGCAGGGGTTGGTAAGCAGAATTATTCTTCCTGCAACAGTTCAGCGGTTTAGCTTAGTAAACCTGAGTGCCGCCACAGCCACTCAAAAACCTGAACCCCCAGATATGAAGACATTACCGTATTTTTCGCTCCATAAGACGCACTTTTTTCCCCCCAAAAGGAGGGGGGAAAAGTGCCTGCGTCTTATGGAGCGAATCCCGACGCCCGAGACATGCAGTTTCGGGCGCCGGGCGAGTAGTAGGAGCCACTGCTCGTTTAATACGAGTGATCTAAGGAGATCACTCGTATTAAAACCGAGCAGCGGCGACGATCGAGATAACCATAGAACAGACGAAGAATAGGCGTTCTTCGCCTGCTCTGTGTCATCACTGACACCGTGGCGCTGTAATCACAGCGCCACCTGTCGCAGCGGTCACTAACTGCAGGTTCTGTCGCAGAAGCTACAGTCTCGAGTGCTCCATAAGGCGCGCCGGACCTCCCTGCGTCCTATGGTCCGGTGCGTCTTATGGACCGCAAAATACGGTATATCCTTTCCATCCATGTGCTTGCACCATGTATGATCTCTTGCCATGCAGGGCTGGGCACCGCTGCTCACAGCCAGAAGCCTGGGCATTTGGTCACATGATCTGTGAATCTGAACATGAGATCGTGTGAATGGTAGCCCAGGGTTTTTGTTCAAGAAACCATGAAAAGCATTTTCTTCAATGATTTCTGTCCTTCTGTTACTCTTTATTTATCTCAGTAAGATTTTGAATGGAAAAGTAAATTTAAAACAAAGTGCAATTAACTTTTTTTGCCCCCTGACCTAACCTAACCCAATGGGCCCATAGAAGTCTAGGGGGCTGTAATGTGCAGGGGGCTGTAATGTGCCAGGAGAGTGAGACCTGCGGTCAGGGCCATCTTTAATATCAATTGGGCCCTGGGCAAATATTTAATTGGGCCCCTCCCGCCACAGCCATCCCCCTACCTGTCAAACCCCTGCTACACCCCGCCCCTTATGCGAAGATCAGGAACTGAATGATCAGCAGTATGTGATCGCTCAGTTCTTGATCAATAGAGCCGACATGTGACAGCTGCAGTGTCACATCCATGTCCCTATGGAACATCCACAGACACCCACTATGATGTAAGAGTTGTAATGGTGACACCATGTTGATTTATGGGGATGACATGCCACCCCGAGTCCCTCCACTGTTGTGATACCAGCAGTGATGTGGCACTGTGCTGGGAACAATCAATCCTTCTCCACAGACTGTGCGGGAGGTGACATCAGATTACCAATGCTTGTAGGGAGGAGAGGCTGCTGCTCCCTAGCGTTTGGGATGGGACGGTGCGGCAGAGGAGGCCAGTGCAGATGCAGCATCAGCACTAAATTATGGATGTACAGGGCCGGTGCAGGGTGCATTCTTCCGATGCCAGCCGCCTGAGCCTCACACAACAATGACTTGGCCCAGTGGCAGCTGCCCCTTTTGCCCCACCTTAAAGACTGCCCTGCCTGCGGTGCTGGATCCATAACCGTCAGAATGAGGTAAGTTAGGTCAGTAAAAGCGGGGGGCGGAAGGATAAATGCACTTATCCTTTAACATTACAGTATAGGTTTCCTTTCCAAAGCAGCATTGAGTTGGAAGAAGGAGCAGAAAATAACCAAATATGAATATCTTCGTTATCTCCTTTCCTTGTACCACTGGGCATACACTCGGACTATTTCTGCTAGTCGCTCGCAATTGCCCGTGATTAGTCACTTACAATCACTACAAGCGTAGTTAATAGTAGCAGCAATCAGTTGCACAATTTGGAGCATTGTACTATCATTAGCAATTAAGCATTTCTACATGCCGCGCTTCATTTTTTCCTGTGTGTAGCGGTTAATCCCAGGGCAATCATGGGCAAATCACCCGTGTGCTCAGAGCCTAATAGTAGAGTGACTAATACATGGTCTAGGAGCTGACACCCTCTGTTTGCAAAATAGAAAAAGCTTCCATTGCATCCTTGTAGTAGAGGTTTTATTCCTGGTTTAGGCCTACTTAGTTATACCATCCTGAGGAGGAGGGGTTACGCCTCATACTGGTCCTATTGATTAAAGCTGAACCCGGGGAATATTCAAATCTATCCTAGCAGTGGGGCTCCCTCTACACTGCAAGGTTTAAATCGGGGGGTAGACAATATAATATGGAATGCAGGATATGGTCTGTCCAATCCAGAAGCCAGCAGGATTTTTTAGTAGCCAACTCTATTGACAACAACTAGGCGAAAAAAAACACAAACATTAGGCACCATCTGTACATTTTAAGGAGCACTGGCTACCTGGCTACCTTTTAAATGATCGCCTTATCCCACAAGCTTCCCCCCCTCTCTGTACGACCAGTCCCCTTAGCCCCTTCGGCTCTCCATCCTGTGGTCACTCTCTGACATCACCAGGTTCAATGCAGGACCATCAGTCCTTCATTGCAAGTGTGGACACAGAGGAACAGTCCACAACCTGGAGTGTCGGAGGGAAGAGGAGAGCACCGGGTGCCAGGGCGGCAAAAGACATAAGGTAAGCAAAGCTGCTTTTTAATGGTACCCCAGACAAAGATGAACGTTTAACGGTTGCAGTGTGGGGAAGTCCCACTGCAAGGGTATTTTTGAGTTATCCCCGGAGTTCAGTTTTAAATACTTCCACTTGTTCCTGGACATGTTCCTAGTCTTGCTTTCGTTGGGACTATGTAATCAGAAAATATGTTTTTAGAGAAAGTCTTGCTGTTTCTGAATTGGGTGTCATGTTGTGTGGAATTTTTAGATACAGAGAAGGGAATTTATCAAAACTGGAGCAGCTGTGCACGGCAACCAATCGTCTTCCCTCTCTTTCATTTTCAAATCTTAACTGAACAAACTTAAGAGAGAAGCTGATTGGTTGCCACGAACAGCTGCTCCAGAAACACAAAAACACACTCGTTCATCAGAATTGGCATTAATTGGCCGCTGCATTTTATTGAAATAAATAATTAAATCATTCTTTAATAATCAATTCAATCAATTAACCAGTAAAATGTTAAAACCAATCATATTGCCCTGTTATTGAAACTCGAGCAATACATCACTCAAGGGAATAGTCCCCCTCTTACGAGGTGACAAACCACATAAAATACCGCGACTAGGGGGGGGGAGCTTGAAAATCAGGATTCCAACTGATGATTATTCCTAGGAGCACCTCCTTATATAGGGTGGCTGTGGAAACTTCCAGAAATCCTCGTGGCGATGTTTTCCCGCCAAAATAACAATTTTTCCCGCCGAAAAAATGACAGTTAAATTTTCTTAAAGGGGCAGTAACTGAAATATATAAAACTTGGAAAAAAAACACCCAAAAATCACAAATAATAGTTCCCACATTCCCATGAAAATGGGCCTCTAATGGACGCCATTTTTACAGTAGCGTTGCCCTACCAAACATCTTCTCTATAACTCTACATATCTTGGCTTCACTACAGTGCTTCCCAAATGCTCTTTGGGATTTTCACACCCGCTGGATACTCGGACAATCCGGAGCTGCTGGCACTTTATAAAAGCTTTTTTCTACCTGTTCTTCCTTCAGGCTACGTTCGGCAGAAGATGGACGAACATTGCCAGGCTGATAGGGAGCCGCACGGTGTTACAGGTTAAGAGCTATGCCAGGCAGTATTTCAAGAATAAGGTAATGGTTTAAAACAAATCCGAGTTATTCCAAGTTTTGTTTTGTTTGCTCTCATCCGGCCTCCAGCAACTCCATCCTTTCTCCGATTGCTGGGACATCAAATAAACCTTTACGGGGGGGATGCACAGGCTGCCATTGCTGACCTCTTCCTGGTCATGCTAGTTTTCTGACTTGTCATATTATACTTCAGTAGATTAAAAAATCACATTGAGTTCAACCAAAAGACAAAAAAAAAACTAAATTCATAGATGATCCGGGGTAAATGTGGAAAGGGAAGAACAAAAATCCCCCCTGATCCCTAAAGGCAGTGGGGCAGGTCAGTGACTCGGAAAGCATTGAAGCCAAAGGCAGCCAGGTAACTGGCAGAAGGAGGTCAGCAATGGCAGCTCATACAGGTGAAACTCGAATAATTAGAATATCGTGCAAAGTTCATTTATTTCACTAATGCAACTTAAAAGGTGAAACTAATATATGAGAGAGACTCATTACATGCAAAGCAAGATAGTTCAAGCCGTGATTTGTCATCATTGTGATGATTATGGCTTACAGCTCATGAAAACCCCAAGAACCCCAAATCCACAACCTCAAAAAAGTAGATTATTACATGCAATCAATAAAACAAGGATTGTACATAGAACAATATCGGACCTCTGAAAAGTACAAGCATGCATATGTACTCTGTACTTGGTTTGGGCCCCTTTTGCAGCACTTACTGCAATTACTTTTGCACAATATTCTAATTATTCGAGTTTCACCTGTATATCTGTGTTGCTGGGATAACAGGCCATCAGTACAATGGTACCTTTAGGGGAACACATCATTTGGTGATTGTGCTTCAATACTAGATTTCACTAGCAGATAAGGGTTGCAAGTTTATGGGGAGCTGGCCTTACACCCGCATGTATGGTTGATGGTTTGCTGGGAGAGGAAGCCAGTACTAAATATGGCCGGTGGGTTTTTAGAAGAGGCAATGTACAATGTACTGTGCTGCATAAAAATGTTTTGGCTTCAGTTGCTCTTTCAGACTGTAAGCTGACATGCAGAGTAGGGATGCACCGATACAGAGTATTTGCCCAAATGCTCCCAATGCCTATCCCGAAGCTTCTGGCATCAGGAAGCCGGGCGGCGAGTCATTGCATGCTGCTCGGCTTTCTGATTGGCTGGTTACCCGGCTCCATGCGTCATTTGGTGATGAGGTAGCATGGAGGCAGCTTCCCGGCCAATCAGGGAGCCAGACAGCGTGTAATGACTCGCCGCCCGGCTTCCTGATTGGTTGGGAAGCTGGCCAATCAGGAAGCCAGGTGGCAAGTCATTACCTGCCCTCCATCATTCTGATTGGCTAGAAAGCTGGCTTCATGCTTCCACCTCACCTGGTGATGAGGGAGCATGGAGCCGGCTTCCTGGCTAATCAGGAAGCCAGGCAGCGAGTCATTAAACGCCGCTCGGCTTCCTTAATGGGACATTCGGTATCCGTATTGGTGAGTACCAAAAAAAAAAATATCGGTACTTGATGCAGAAAAAACGGCTAATGCAGAGACAAGCAAAGCAGACTGCCTATTGGCTGTGGAATCCACCCACTTCATGCTGTCAGGGGAGCAGACCTGATGGGGAACTAGTCCCTCAGCTTCCCCATCAGGCTCAGCCCACCCACTAGCAAAACTCCTCGAACGCTGTGAGACATGTGCAGCAGTTGTGGGGGGTGGGGAGCTTCACTAAGGATGGATTGTCCAGTATGGACTCTCTGGCCTCAGCGCACCTCTGCACGGGAAATGGTGATGCTCGCACCACATTTATATACCTGTTTCCAACGGGTACACACATCTGAGGCAAGCACTGACATTTGTTGTGCGGATGCACTACAGCAGTGGTTCTCAACCTGTGGGTCGTGACCCAAAAGTGGGTCACAACCCAAAATTGAGGGGGTCCCCACGTGCCTTGTGCTGCTCTAGGTAAGAGGCTCCTCAGCCTCCTTCTAGCACAGCAGTGTCAGTTCCCCTGGATGGCGCTGCAGCGGCCGGAGAGCATCAGAGAGAGGGGAAGAGGCAGGTGAGGGGAGGTGAATGCTTGATCACCACAGAGCACGCACTGGGCACCACAGAGGTCGCACTGGATGCTACCAGAGAGTCCCACTAGCCTCCTGAGAGCCCGCATAGCCTCCTGAGAGCCCACACAGATACTAGTATTGATGCATCCCTACATTTTACGGTTGGGGGTCACCACAACTTGGCAAATGTTACTAAGGGGTCCCAGCCCTAGAAAGGTTGAGAACCATTGCACTACAGGATTTTAAAGAGTGTCAGAGATTGTCTTTATGAATTCTAGGGATTGTGTGGACTTTTCCATGTTGCTATTTTCCTGGGAGATCAGCGAAGTCTTTCTTATAGGGATGTTCAGATACCAAGTACCGTACTCGGTACAAGTACAGATACTTTTAAAGCTCCGAGACTAGACTAGAGAAAAATTCAAAAGTTAGGAGGCAGCTGTCATTTTTAAGGAGTTTACGGAGCTCCTGGGATTAGTACATCTCTGTTTTAATGCATTTTTTTTTTTAGAAATACATATAAAGTGATGCACCGATACCATTTTTACAAGTACAAGTACTGATACAGTTTTGTTTAGTGTCATGTGACAGTTTCTCTAAAACAATACAGACTAATGATTTCAGGACAGCGGTGGAGCGCCAGAACCAGGTCCCAGCTGCAACCGCTGCAACCCGGGTAGTTCTCATGAAAATACCAAGTATCGGCACTGGTATCTGAACTGGTATCGGTGCATCCCTACTTTCTTAGTTACATTGTGACTGACTGGGTTATTAAAACCTGATGAAGGGGACCCTGCGTGGTCCAGAAACGTTGTTATTTGACAGTCTGCATCAATAAAGAAGATGGCGTGTTGACACTAGTCATGGGTGTGCTGGTAACGTTTTCTATATATCTGGGTTATTTCCTGGTCATATTTTTATGTACAGGTGAAACTCGAATAATTAGAATATCGTGCAAAAGTAATGGCAGTAAGTGCTGCAAAAGGGGCCCAAACCAAGTACTGAGTACATATGCATGCTTGTACTTTTCAGAGGTCCGATATTGTTCTATGTACAATCCTTGTTTTATTGATTGCATGTAATAATCTACTTTTTTGAGGTTGTGGATTTGGGGTTCTTGGGGTTTTCATGAGCTGTAAGCCATAATCATCACAATGATGACAAATCACGGCTTGAATTATCTTGCTTTGCATGTAATGAGTCTCTCTCATATATTAGTTTCACCTTTAAGTTGCATTAGTGAAATAAATGAACTTTGCACGATATTCTAATTATTCGAGTTTCACCTGTATTGTTGTAGACATTCTTTCGCCTTTCTGCACAGATGCGGTCCAGTTGATCATCTTTGATTTTGTATTTAGACAATATTTGTTTGGCCTGGATTTCCTCTTCACAAAAACAACATTGTAAATATCCTTTTGTGTGTTTTTAAGCATTGCTTCATATGATCATTGCATGGCTCAGACATTGAAACTGTCGGCTTTACTCAAAGTCAGGAGTTTAAAATCCGTTCTATTTCTACAGTGTAAGGAGAATGGGGAGAAAGATGGCAACACGGCCACCGATGAGTTTCCCGTTTTCCACGCCGAGAACTCGGAGGAAGAAGCGAAACTGTCTGCATTCCGAGGTCGAGCGGACCCCAACCTCAACGCGGTTAAGATTGAGACGTTATCTGATGATGAAGAGGTCGACATAACGGATGAGGTGGACGAGGCATTTGTCAGCAGCGGAGACCTTCCTGACTCGGCGATAAATCCAGCAGATAAGATCTGCCAGGTGAAGGAAGAGGCCATTCATCCCGCCACGGAACAAAGTCACCTGACCCCAGAACAACCGCACACGTATGTTGCAGAGACAGAGGCACTTTGTCACAAGGAACCGGACGACGAGGACGCTTTTTATTGCTTCACATGCGTGCCACACAGCGACACTTTGACACCCGCGCAAGATGAAGGAGCCAGTCAGGACTCCACCTCTGCGAGCACGCAGGATAAGGATGATGACGTGCTGACGGTTCAGTCCTATGAGCACGACGACAGTCAGGATGGTGCAGAAGATCTGAAAGTGCCCGACCAGGAGGTGCTGCTGGACCCAGACTTCATTCAAGAAGAAGAAAAGCAGGCCATCCCAGAATTCTTCGAGGGGCGCCCAGCAAAGACTCCGGAGCGCTATCTCAGGATACGCAATTACATCTTGGGGCAATGGTATGTTTTTTGGTTTGACGGAAAATATATATTTTTTAAATGATTAGTCCACGCAAAGCAGATAAGATTTACGAGAGAGAAAATCGCCTTCTGGTCTCTGTCGGACCGTCTGCGTCCAATGCGGGCACCTGGACCTGGATGGATGTGCAGGTTCAGGTTGGTCTGTAGCCGCGGGCAGGCACGTCTTCCCACAGGGGTGTACGTGCGGCTGCACGCAATTACAAGCAGCCCCTCTCCCTGCTGGTAGCAGGTCTCTGCACAGGTGTGGACGCCGTATATGGATGCGTAGATTCGGGTCGCCATGCAGCCGCGTACCATCATAGGGATATACAGGAGGCCGCATGCAAATACATGCTGCACCTGCACTCGGTCTCCGGGCGTGCAAACCGTACAGAAGCGCATGCCCATGTGAAAGAGTCCTAAGGGTTGTAAATACCAAAGGCGTATACCAGGTGTCCTCATCATATATGGTAGAAAAAATATAGGTCACCAGCACTCAAAATAATGACCGGTCACATCTTTTGCCTTGAAGAAGGGACCCTGCGTGGCCCCGAAACGTCGGCTCTTTTTGATTATCGTGACACAATTGTCCAATAAAAAGGACTTATTCATTTAAATTATTTTGAGTGCTGGTGACCTATATTTTTTCTACTTTGTGTTTTGCACGGTGCCATCCGTGGTAGTTACTACAAGCACCGTTTTTGTTTATTGGCCGGGATTGCTGAAAGGTGTGCGGAGAGCCCCCTCACCAACTGCAACTCATCATATATGGGACACCAGTGAGCCATTCAGGGAGTACTGCCACCAAAATGTCATACAATGTCAACTACCCTGTTTCCCTGAAAATAAGACCTAGTTGTGACCATTCCCGGGGCCGGTGGTGGCATAAGGGGGGAACTTGGAGAGGCGGGAGAGAATCAGCGGTGCCAATGAAGCCAGCGCTAGCGGAAGCAAGGCGGCACCGGAGGGAGCAGAGCCGCATAAGCCGATGCCTCCTCTATAGCGCCGGCTTCTTTCGCAGGCGGAGTGATACCAAATGCACTCCGCCTGTGAGGAATCCATAGTGAAAGCGCGCTTCGCTCATTCTGACCAGCGATTGGTTAGCAAATTGCTCTTGGAAAGGTACGGCACCCCTGATCACCGTATTTTTGTACATGAATACACGTAGACTGTTGTACAGCAATAAGGCCTTGTTCACACCAAATGCAGAGCAGATCCGGTCAGGTTTCTGCACACGCACGCTAGTCTTTTAGATGCGTTTTTGATGCGTTCCGGGCTCTTTGGTTAAAAAAAAAAAATATATTTTTTTTTTTTTAAGTTTAAAATGGGCTTTCAGTGTGTTCCAGGCATTGGCATGAGTTTTTGATGCGTTCCAGAGCAGGTAAAATAGGGCCTGCTGCTGTTTTTTCACCTGCTCTGGACCTGCTCTGCAACTGCACGCTGCCATGTGAACTGGAGCAAAAAATACCATTGGAATACATTGGCGCAGTTTTGATCCGGTCTGCACCTGCTCTGCTCTGCAACTGCTCCGCGCTTGGTGTGAACAAGCCCTTAGTGTGGATTGTTGTACATTAAAATAAAAAAAATAAAAACCTACCCCGAAAATAAGACCTAGAGGTGTTTTTTGAGCCAAAATAAATATAAGGCAGTGTCTTATTTTCGGGGAAACGTGGTATATTGGTAGCGCTCCCTTTTGATAGGGACAGGTACTCTTTGAGTAGAAATATGAAGAAGTCACTCGCACTCCGGCTCAAGTTCAGTCCGATATTTTATTGACCTCTGTGGTGTCACAACATGGCTACGTTTCGGAAACCCGTTTGGTCCCTTCATCAGGCAAACAAAGAGTGAACACAAGGAGGGTTTGTGGAGAGATAAGTATGATCCACGCATATATCAAAGTTGTATCAAAGTTTATTAAAGATAAAATCCAAAATACAGTCTCAGGCCGATTGCTTCTAACTCTATATATACATGATAAAAGCCATAATCCAATAAACAATTCAGATACATAACTGGCATGGTAGTCCCAATAGTCATTGTTGTTCCAAAGTACATGATCCAATTGTATATGATTTAGATCAAAAATATTAAATAAATTACATGATTGTCCCGATAATTCCAGCGCGTTTCGCACAATTAGCTTCTTCAGGGGACCGGTATCTGAATTTGTTTATTGGATTATGGCTTTTATCATGTATATAGATTTAGAAGCAATCGGCCTGAGACTGTATTTTGTATTTTATCTTTAATAAACTTTGATACAACTTTTATCTATGCGTGGATCATACTTATCTCTCCACAAACCCTCCTTCTTCCCCCTGTTTTCTATATACTGTGTATTTGAGGGGGAGAGATAGTAGAGGGAACCTATGTTGGGGCAATCCACGATCTTTATTCTAAAGAGTGAACACGAAGCGATTACGTGCCGCAATATATACAAAAAAAAATGAACCAATTGAAAAATCACAAAAGCCCCTCTGACATCATTATGACGTCACATTCCCGCCAAAATATCAATATAATCACCAACATCATCGCATCTGCATATAAAGCACGAATAAACATTTGTACCTTGTAATTACAGGGGTGTGGACATTTTTGAAAAAACTACTTGTCTAGGACTAAAGCGGGGGCCGAATCTACGTGTCCTAATACAAAAAAAATAATTTTAACCGTATTTAGCAGTGCTAAGAAGCGCTTCTCATTGGTCAATCCCATCAGGTGACCGCGTTGACCAACGAGTGCTTGCAATTTGCGAGCGAAATTCAGAATACATGGAACAGGTACAGATAGTACACCCGTACTGGTGGACGGGAAGGACCGTTCGCCAAAAGGTAAGTATATTGGGAGGCGCCCGGAACTACATGTCCCGGGCGTCGGGCGATACGAATGCCACACCCCTGTAATTGACAGATGGTTCTATGTCAGCAGATCCCCCTTCGATCAGTGCCATGGTAACAAGGTACTCTTTGAGGTTTCGTATATTCTGAAGGCGAATGTCATATTTTATTATTATAGGAAGAATTGTAAGCCAAATTACTTGAACAAAACCTCCGTGCGCCCGGGACTGAAGAACTGCGGCGATGTGAACTGCATCGGGCGCATCCACACCTACCTGGAATTAATTGGCGCCATTAATTTTGGCTGTGGTAAGCGACCCTTCAGCTGTGGTTAGTTAACCCTTTTTTTTTATTTTCTTGCCTATCATTGTCCACCACTTACTTGGTATTCTGGACATTTCAGAGCAAGCGGTTTACAATCGGCCGCGTCCGCTGGATAAAACCAAGACGAAGCTGGTAAAAGATGCGTTGGAAGTGTACGAGCTCGCCCACCGCCTGCAGACTATGGTAAAGGGGAACATCGGGCTTCACTGCTGAGAATAAAATAGAACCAGAGTCCTGAGACAGACCAGAATGGTGAAAGGTCCGAGGGGTAAAACATTTTGGGTGAGGCAGCCGGAACTTAAAGGATAACTATGAGGGGGAGGGGCTTTTCACTCACCTCATAGTTCTAGCCGACCTGCGACAATGAGACTGTCACAGGTCGGCTCAGTAGATCGGGAGGTGAGCGAACACATAGCGGCGTTCGCTCACCTATCGATCCTGTCACGGCTCTCTGCCGTGACAGGGGGAGGGGCTGGATTCCCCCCTCCCCGCTCCGATCCGCCAGCGCTGACATCTTGCGATGTCGCGCAATGTGCAAATCGCGCGACAAACGCGCGATTTGCATATCGCGCAGTGGGAACGGGGCCTAAGGAGAACTATGGGGAAAACCCCTGACCCCATAGTTCTCCTTTTTAATATGTCCAATCTGGAGGAAAGAAGGGAAAGGGGGGACATGACTGAAACCTTCAAAGTAGTAATAAACTCTCAAACTTTTTATCAATAATGAATCCAGCTCATAAAATTATACATGGCCCAGCAAAGTATCTCTTTAAATTTTTGCCCAAGCACGTACAGTCATCATGTTTCCAAACCGCTCCAACTCTCTCAGCTCGGCTTCCCTAAACTTCCTGTCTGGTACAAGATCACAAGTGTCAGCACAGTCTCTAGCAGCTCTCCATTTGCTACCTGGGAGGAGGAGGGAGCGTAGCAGGGAAGTAGCTTGCCTTGCTGTGTCTGTGCAGTTGTGGAGACACACCGCTTAATAGCACACTCAAGGGTAGCTCCATAGGACCCTGTAAGGGAAAGGAGCCACACAGCTTACTAGCACACTCAAGGGTGGCTCCATAGGACCCTGCAAGGGGAAGGAGCCACCCTAAAACAGGATATCAGGGCCAGTGCTCAGGGGACCAGCTGATTCTGCAGGAAACTAAAACTTGTAAACATCGAGGAGCGGCATCCATTGTAAGTGATTTCATCAGCATTAGAAATGAAAGCTACCTTAGCTTTAATATCATTTTGAATACATGAGGGGTGTGAATACTTTTGAGGGGGGCAGGACTTTCAGTATGAAGCTCAGATCAAGAACTCGGGGACATAACCTCGAAGCAGCAGGAGGAAAGTTCAGAAGTATCCCTAGAAAGTATTCTTATGCAGGTAGTTGACGCCTGGAATGGACTTCCAGCAGAGGTAGTGAGTCAGTAAGCGGGTCAGGTGACGACGTCTCTTTAAATACGACCTCGGGTGTTGCTGTAGTAACTGGCTCTTGTTTCTCGTTGCAGCGCACCAGACGGAGGCGTGTCCGGGGCCCCTGGGGGAACTGGTGTGATGCAAAAGACCTGGAGGGACAGACGTTTGAGGTTAGACCGTAGATGAAGGTCCTATTACTTGTGGCTGAGGGGCTGCGGTCTACAATGCTGATGTTTTTTTCTTTATACTATTGAATGGATCATTGTAGCCCGTCACCAAACCCCCGCGCCCCCGAGAGGATCACATCTACAATATTGTATTATGGGCATTTCCCTAAAGTTTGAGTGACAGGTGCTCTTTAATGAACATGATGTTTCTCTCTGTCAGCATCTTTCGGCGGAGGAGGTGGCACAAAGACGGGAGAGGATGAGGAGCCTGAAATGTTCCAGGGGACCGAGACCACCCAAGAGGTACGGAAATCAGAACATGGTCCGATACAGGGACAGTCTTCCTTCCTTGTCGGGGCTCTTTACATTGAGACGTTCATAAGTTCCTCTTAAGGATGCGAACAGGACAATATTCTGTAGTTTATACATTGTGACAAATTTAAAGCTGAACTCCGGCCTTCCCTTCAGTCTTTTATCTGACCTCTGTCCTCCCCTTCAGTCTTCTATCTGACCTCCGTCCTTCCCTTCAGTCTTCTATCTGACCTCCTTCCTTCCCTTCAGTCTTCTATCTGACCTCAGTCCTCCCCTTCAGTCTTCTATCTGACCTCCGTCCTCCCCTTCTGTCTGACCTCCGTCCTCCCCTTCAGTCTTCTATCTGACCTCCGTCCTTCCCTTCAGTCTTCTATCTGACCTCCGGCCTTCCCTTCAGTCTTCTATCTGACCTCTGTCCTCCCCTTCATTCTAATGTCTGACCTCCGTCCTTCCCTACAGTCTTCTATTTGACCTCCGCCCTTCCCTTCAGTCTTCCATCTGACCTCCGCCCTTCCCTTCAGTCTTCTATCTGACCTCCGGCCTTCCCTTCAGTCTTCTATCTGACCTCCGGCCTTCCCTTCAGTCTTCTATCTTTTTTTATTAGATTCTTGCAATCATGGAGGCTCAGCATCACATGTGGGCGTTACCCAGGGTGGTCTGCATGCAAATACAGCCTGCCTAGGTCCGCCCACTCCTCCAGACTGACATCCACCCATCAAGGCATTTTGATATTAGCATAACTCCTTCAATGGAGAAGCCCGCTGGTGGCATCAATGCCTCAGAGGAGTACTGAGGCCGGGTGCTGTCATTATTACATAGGATTTATATAGCGCCAATAGTTTGCGCAGCGCTTTACAATATAAGGAAGACATTACAGTCACAAGATGGTAAGGAGGGCCCTGTCATGGTTTTAGGAAGCTATGTACAGCCCCCTGCCAGCCCCTCCCACCAGCCATGCATTGTATAGAGAAGCACAGAGACCGAGTGAGTCACATGACTGGCATGTAAGAAGATAGCTGCATGCATATAATCATCATATATGAGATATATTACCGTATATATTCTCGAGTATAAGCCGAGATTTTCAGCCCAATTTTTTGGCTGAAAAGTGCCCCCCTCGGCTTATACTCGAGTCAGCGCCAGCGCGTCTTCTTACTTACCTCGCCGAGCGTCGCGTC